TTATGACCGGGATAGACTCCTGCCTTTGTGGATTTTTTTTCTATAATTTATTCTTTTTATTTGTGTTGGTGCCAAAAAAAAAAAAAAAAAAAAAATTTTTTTTTCTCTCTTTTTTTTTTTTTTTTTTTTTTTTTCTTTTTTGCCAGGGCACTGAATTGTAAATATATAATTTTTTTTCTTCTCCGTATCTGTGTAAAAAGTTGCCTGTTAAACAGTTTAAAAACTGGGTATTTATTGACACAATCTGTAATTATCTAATGTATTGATTGAAACGCTTTGGTTTCAACATAGCTTTATTTTAGCTTTCTTTGTGTATATATTGTGATTATGTTGCTTAAAGGTACAAGTTTAAAAAAATGCTTTATTTTTACCTTATCCATTTGCATTTGTTTATAAAAAAGCATATTTGTCTACAGCTGCTGTCTCTCATTTCATCAAAGCAATATGAAGAAATTTCCATTACACTTTCAATAAAAGAATTTTGTTTGAATATGGCAGCACCTTCGCCCTGTTTATCCTTTACTGTGGCTCGAAAACTTGGATGAGGGTGTGTACACTGCACTGTATGTCATAGTTGTCCCTTTTTTATTTGTTTTTGGCTTTTTTGGCCCCTTTTTGAAGCTTGTGGATGCCCTGGGGTTGAGATGGAAGCATCCTACTGGGGCAGGAGCAGCCCTTGTCCCAGCCTGGTGTCCTCCAAGAGGCTTCTCCTGAGCTTGGGGACCCCTGTCGCTTTGCTCAGCCCCCTAAAAGCAGCCCAGGGAAGAGCATCCCCATGCCCTCGTGTTGGGGAAAGGCACAGGGGGATCCTGGGGGGCCTGAGCACTGGCATAGGGCCAGTCCCATAGTGGGAAACCAGCTGTAGGGTCAGTCCCCAGCGCAAAGGGGACATCTTCCCTGGAGAAGGCCCGGAGCCGAAGCAGCTCATCCATCCCTGCGGAGCCATCCTCCATGCGTGGCAGCTGGGTATGCAAAGGGGAGGCGCTTCCCAGGCAGCCTCTGAGGTGTCCCCAGGTCCATCACATCCTCGATGTCACCTCGATACTGAAACGTAGCAGGGAACGCTACTGAAGCCTTGGGAGGTCACAGAGGAGAAGCTCTTGGGGCAGCTGGAGGTGCATGAGGGGTGCCCCAGGGTCCCTCTGAGTTCATCCAGAGATGGGTTTCCTAGCAGGCAGGCACCCAGTGCCAGCCCCAGCTTCCAAATTTTAAGCTGAAACAGCACATTTTGGCCAGGAGAGAGTCTTGGCTGGCAAGCGCAGTTTCTCCCAGGCCTGGGACTTAGAAGGGACTGTTTTTGGCAAACTGCTTAATTAATTTGAGGGCAAAAATGTGATGCAACCTCTTGCTTGGCAGAGCAAGATCTGTGCCCCAGAGAGCGTCTCCTGAGGCTCCCAGGGTGTCTCCAGCCGCTCGGTCACGCCATGGCAACGTCCCTGGCACACCGCTTTGCGGTGGTACGTGACACTTGTCCTGTTCAAGTTGCTTCCTGCTCCACCAGTGTCACTTGTGTGACACAGTGCCCTCCCCACCCCTTGCAAAAAAGGGTAAAAATCAGTGCATGGGGCTGGGGTCTGGCTGTGTTGTTTCCCAGACATGCTTGGCTTGTGGGTGGTGGCTGCCCCTCTCCACGGGACGATGGAAAAGACAGTGATGGTGGCAGCATCCCCATCGCTGAAGGGCATATAGCAGAAATCTTAGGAAACCCTTGGGAGCCCCTGGAAAACTGTTTCCCTTGCAGGCGACAAATCATTTGTCTTCACCCCATGGCACCTGTGGGACCTGGAAGGACGCAGCCAAAAAGAAGCATCACCACGATCCTGCGCCCCAAGGGAAAAGCAGAAAAAATACGCTTGGTCCTGGCAACAGCAGGGAAATAAGAAGGAGGTGAGGATGGGAGCCAGCCCACGGTGCAAAGGAAAAGCTGAATAAAACCCAGAAACCTGGAAGGGGAAACGCACACCTATCCCATGGGCTTGAGTCTGGCAGCATAGGCATAAATCATAACCACTGGCATTGACCTGAAAGCAAGGGAAATTGGCCCCAGAATGCCATTGTCTAGTTTTCCATTGGGAATCCGTTTCTAAAGGTTGCCATCTGCCCCCCGAGCAGAGAAGCTCAATTAATTGAATAAACTATTTGTTACAAATTATTTGCTCAGCCGTAAAAGCAGCAATACTGAAAAAAAGCCCCGTCTGTGGCTGCTCTGCAACGTGCGGTGAAGCCCGGCTCCAGTTTCCCCACCCAGAAGGATGTTTTTGATTGTGGGGTGGTTTTTGTTGTGGTTTTTTTTTTTTTTTTTTTTTTAATGGGATTTGCACCTATAATTCCCTCTTACATTAATTATTTTCTGATGGGGAGGGGAAGAGCCCCCAGCATATGGCTCTAGTTGCTGCACTGGTGGGTTTTCGGCTCACGGTGAGGACTTTGCGCTGTGCTCCAGCATCATGGCCGGGGGACCCGTCACCCACCCAGGGACGGTGCTGAAACAGCCCCGAAAGTGCTGCATCCCATCAACCAGCCTCCGGCACAGGCATCTCCACGGGGAAGCAGCAGAGTTTATCACGGCCTCTTTGTGCCAAGAGGAGTTCATGTTCGCCTTGAGGAGCGAGGCAGGAGAAGCCCTGGAGGAGCTTCCCCAGCTGGTCGGGGATCGTCCCTCTGCAAGGGGCTGATGCTAAAGCCGTGGCCACTCTGCTTTTATAAGGCTGCATCTTAAAAGGGGCGAAACCAGGCGCAGCCTTCGATTTGCTTCCTGGCCACGGCAGGGTTGAGCCCGGCTGACTTTCTACGCACGCCAGGATGGACCTGCCCCAACCTGGTGACACAGAGCTGGGACTCACGTACATTTGACAGCGAGTGGTGGTGCTTCTTCGCATTCCTGGGAACTGGTTATTCATTGACCCCAATTAAACCCATCGGTGCACTCCCTACCTTGCTTAGGGCTTCATCACCCTCTTTATTTTCATTTATTTTCTCTTTTTTTTTCCTCCGTACAGCCACCCTGTATGCCTCGCTTGTAACACCCAGAGGCACAGAATTACTCATTGCCTGCTATCGTTTCATTTTTAGGTGCCTACAAGAGTTGAACCGTGCGTGTAGCCACCAGACTAGAAAGCATTTCTCTCCGGGTGGCGGAGCAGCCTCCAGAAAAGAGATGAGTCACTTGACGACCCGTGGCTGGCGGGGACGGGGACGGGCTGCGACGCGAGGCGAGGCTCCTCCAGACTTGGCGCCGTGTGGGAATGAAACACCCGAGGACTTTTCTCAGAAGGACCAGCTATAAAATGACGGATAGGATCCTGGACTTTATCACTGGCAGGAAAAATAACAAAACAAACAACCCAGGAGCTGCAGGGCAAGGTGAGGGCAGGGGTGTTGGCTCTGCAGCAGCAGGGGCATTTCCATAGGGCCAGTTCCTGCATGCAAGAGGCTCATGTCTGCTTTGGAGGCAGAAGCATTGGGAAAAAAAATACCTTTCCTCATCACTTGTCTGGTCGATAGAAGAAAAAAGGCAGGTTTGCACTGCTTGGCTGAGCAGCATGACACTGCAGGGGGTACAGTTGCCCCAGGCCTTCTGCAAAGGCAATAAAAGCATCCCAGGTGATGCCTCTGCATCCCTGCTGGGTTCAAGACCTCTATGACTGCAACACGCACTTTCTCTGTCCGTGCATGTATATCTTCCATGGAATTGAGCAGAAGTTTGCAGGCACTGAGGTTTTAACTCAGACCTAGAAGTCAGCTTGACTTTCCCATAAAAAAGGCACTGCAGAATTGGCAATTGTTGACACGTTCCTGTGGCCCATTTGAGTTTCAGTCTGTCAGTGCTATGGGATGGGTTAAAAAAAAAAAAAAGTTCAGCTGTTATTTCTTATTCGTTGGGTAATGGTGTTCAACATCACAGAAATCCTCATCGCGCTATAAGGAAGTGTCCTCTCCACCAAATCAGCCCAAATCACACACCAAAATAAAAGCAGATTGATTTCTGCACCATGGGAGGGCCCCTCTGTGGTAATCATCTCTGGAGCAGCTGTGAGTCCCCAGCATCTGGGGAAACAGGTGATGCTAAATGCACTGAATAAATGTAAGTATTCTGGCGTCAGTGTTTTCCCTGCATAAAAGAGCAAAAACTCCTGTTTTGCCAGAGCTCTGCCTGAAGTGAGGCTTCAGATAAGCGGTTAATAGAACTACGTTTTCTTCTTCACAGCTACAACCATTAGGAGTTTTCAATGCTGCTTAATCCACACATTTCCGTCAGCTTGTTTTATACCTCTCAGCCTGCTGGCTGAGGGAATGGCAGTATTGCCATCTACCGGGCAGCTGTCTCCCTCTCCCAGCCTCTCAGCTGGCCAAATCGCTCTTGGGCAATGCTTGTCCTCCTCTGTGGGCCGGCTCAGGTCTGGAGGAGAGGTGGGCATGTCCTGGGGCTTGGCTGTGTTTCCGAACCTGGCCTGGCACACACATCCACAGCTGGAGGAAACCGTCTCCAGAAGGTAAATGCTCAAAAAAAAACCCCATGGATGCACCTACATTTTGGGCTCACTGGGAAGAGGAGTGAGGGATCAAAACACTTGTGGCTAGACATGCCCTGACTCCACCGCATTGGTAGGTGCATGAAACCCATCAAAGAGGGAATATCTGCGACCAGAGGAGCTAAAATATTTTGGTACGAGCGTGGAGGCTGTGAAGACTTTCAAGTCAGTCCAGATGAGGAGGATAAAAGGCTCGAGATGGCCCGGGGACCTGATTCCCTGGGGACTGCATGAGCCACACGCCAGGGTAAAACTACAGGAGAACCCTGCCACCAGGATGGATAACATAAAAGGATCTCCCTTGAAAATAAACCTGCTCCACTGAGGTACCCTGCGTAGGAAATTATTATATATTACACTTCCCTGGATAGAAATAGTTGGCTACTACTTTGGAGTAAATAGAGATGAGCACTTAATGGTCCTTAAATGCTTTTCATAGTTAAAGCATCCCAAGGAGCTTTCTGGGAATTAAGGTCGAATAGCTGTCGGGAGGCAGGGGAGACCATTGTAGTCATACTCCCAAATACCCATCATTTTTGCCTGCAAGTGAGCAAGGGAACAAACGGATGAAGAAGTGGTACAATTTTAACTAGAGATTTGGGAAGTTATTCTGATAAAGGATAGCAGCCCCAGGGTAGGATTTGGATTTTTGTCTCCTTTTTTCTGCTCCTCACAATGATGTGGGGAGCACCAGTCTTCCAAAATCTAGTTCGTTTCCTGGTTTAGCTGCTTCCTCACCACCCAGCTTTGGAGAAAAGGATGGGAATGTTATATATGAGCATTATAGTACTGTGCCCAGCCGTGTTTTTCTAATACCATTGGATAACATATTGCTGTGACACCTAGTATCTTCACACAGTAAAACCTGCATGAAGCACTGCATTTTCCAGAGGCTTCCCAAGGTGTGCTCCTGGGATCGCAGCTTTGCCTGGCAGTGCTGGGGACCAAGTAGCTCTAGCAAGGCTTTCAGATAGTGAGAGGTGAATGAGGCACAGGAGAAGCACGTGCACCCTGTCTGTGAGCTGCCAGGCTATTGCTTCCCTCTTGCCCTACGCAATAAATCATGGCTGAGCAGCACAAGCTGTTCCTGTCATCGAAACGCGGAAAGAAACGCTCCTCTTGGCACCAGGGATGTTATAATGACCCTGAATTAGAGCTGTGTGTCTCCAGCACCTGATTCTCCCGCTCCTGCGGGTGCAGCCTCATGTTTCTCCTCCTGGATATTGCAGGAACAGGTCCAAGTCTTGCTCACGTGGAGGAAGAGTTGAAAGGAGCAACGTCCAGCCTGGCTTTCGGAGCAGCTTGTGACAAGAGATTTCAAGCACCCAATGGCAATAGATGCTCTGTGGAGACCAGGGGCAGCTGCATGGCTGTGGGCAGAAGCAGGGGCAGCCCCACTGTCATGCCAGGGGATGAACAGGGGATGGCTGTGGCGTTTTGGGTTGTGGCAAGGCACATGCATACTCATTAAATCGCTAACGTGGCCCCAGGAGTGCTTTTGGCCCAGGGAGCAGCAACATCCCAGATGGTTCCCTGCTTCGCTCAGCCCAGGTCAGGGATGGAGGCTGATGAGAACTGGGGACCCCATGTGACATCCCCAAATGCCCTCATGGCCCATGCACCAAGCACACAGAGTTAGACTCCCAGCCCAGGCACCAGGCACTGCAAAACTACCAGGCACTCTAATACTTCACTCCTGAGCATCTAAGTAATTTTGGGGAGTCCTTTGAGGGGCTCCCTTAAAAAATTTCATATCCCAAAGCCTTTGTTCTGTATTTTTTTAATTCCTCCTGAAACTCAAAGGGAAAAGCTGGAATATAGTCAGGCCAAGATCTCAAGATGCCAGCTTGCTCCTACCACTTGGCTGCCAAGTGCTCTTAGAAGGGACAGTACTCCATCACTGAGCCTAACAGGTCCAGGCTCTTTCCGGAGAAGTTAAATATTTGAACTTGATATAGCAGCAGAAATCACACATGGTGTCTTAAAAGGAGCAAGAACCATCCGGTAATATTAAGCAGCAGGAAAGCTGCGATTCAGGGTGGTTTTAACTTGCCAGAAGAGGAGAATTGCCAAACAACCGAGCACCCAGGAGACACTGCCAAGTGCAGTCCAATAAAGCAGAGAGCTAAAAATACAGCTGGGACTCCACTCCTTCACAAGCCTTAAAGAAAGCGCCGCTGGTTTCATTTGTGCTTGCCATAATAAGGGAGATTTATCTATTGCAAATCGGACCTCTGGATAAACAGCGGCAAAAATCAGCCCCTGTGTGACATCGCTTATCTGTGTGTCTGCAAGCAAACACGAAGGACAGAGTGCAAGGCTGTGTACTTGCCATTTTATCGTTCTCGGCCCTCAAAACTTCTTTAGCAGGCGGTGACAACCGTGTCGGATATTCCTTCGGTTTGCCAATGCCCTCTAGTGGCTTTTGGAGAGAAAAAATGGACATTCTCCCGAAAAAGAGAGGATTTTGCAAAAATACTGCTATGCCCTAGGCATGTGCAGGCTTTAGCAGAGATGGGACATAGGTAGTTTAAAATGGAAAAAGAGCTAAATGAAGATCCTTCATTCATAAATGCTCATCTCATACACAGCAAAAGGGGGAGAGGGAAGGTTGTGGGATTCCCCATGTATCCCTAGAAGATGGTTTTGTCGTTCATCAAAAGACAAATCTTGCTTTATTGTGCACGTACATCTCCATCTCTTCCTCCTTCCTTCCCTTTACCGGCCCTGCTGCCTGTCTAATAGGAAAGTGGCTTTTCTTTGGAAATGTTATGCGCTGCAGATAGGCGTGCCCAGCTGGCTGAGTATGGGCCCCTGCTGCCTAACAGCACAGGGGGCTGTTTTACACTGAATTTATTGCTTCCTTGCTAGAAAAGCACTCTCCAGAAATGCCATTTTCTATGCACTTAGTCTTAGAAAATGAATTTAAAAAATAATCACCCTTCACAGACTGAATTTAAGAACAAGTTACATGGATCGTGCTTTCTATGGGTTGAGTTTCCCAATACACTTGAGGCAGATGCCTTTCTGAGCTGTGCTGTATTGAAGCTGTTTGCTTAGGAACACAAAGAGAACCCAGTTCTGCAAGCAAAACCTCTGCTGGCTGCTGACAGAACAGAACAGAACAGAACAGAATAGAGTATTTCAGTGGGAAGGGACCTACAACAGGCAGCTGGTCCAACTCCCTGACCAATTCAGGGCTGACCAAAGGCTAAAGCATGTTGTTAAGGGCAGTGTCCAAATGCCTCTTAAACCCTGACAGCCTTGGGGCATCGACCACCTCTTTAGGAAGCCTGTTCCAGTGGCTGACCACCCTCTCACTGAGGAAACTCTTCCTAATGTCCAGTCTGAGCCTCCCCTGGTGCAGCTTTGAACCACTCCCACGCCTCCCATCGCTGGATCCCAGGGAGAAGAGCTCAGCACCTCCCTCGCCGCTTCCCCTCCTCAGGAAGCTGCAGAGAACAACGAGGTCGCCCCTCAGCCTCCTTCTCTCTGTACCAGACAAACGCGACATTCCTTCCAGAACTTCCACCAGCTTTGTTGCCCGCCTCTGGGCGCGTTCAAGCACCTTCACATCCTTCTTAAATTGCAGGGCCCAGAACTGCACACACTACTCCAGGTGAGGCCGCACCAACACTGAATACAGCAGGAGAATCACCTCTTTTGACGGGCTGGTTACGCTGTGTTCGATGCACCCCAGGGTGCGGTTTGCCCTCTCGTCTGCAGGTCACCCTGCTGGCTGCTGCTGCGCCTGCTGCCCACCAGCACCCCCACATCTTGCAGGGTTTTCTGCACAGCTGCTCTTCGGCCACTCCTCTCCCAGTTTATACTTGTGCCCGGCAGTGTCACACCGTTGCTCTGCTCCCAGTGACCTGCAAGCACCGAGCTGACCGCCTTCGCTGCTGGTGGGGTTATCCCTCAGGAATCCCTCAGTGAGAAAAACCCGTCATAGCCATTTTTGGCAGGGTGGGTTTGGTGCCATGCTCGCTGCCCACAGCCCAGCCCCAAGTTAAGGGCACTGTCACCAGCTTATACTGTCATTACAGGCTGTGGCATTTGCTGGAGCCTCCTTCTGTGCTGACAGGGTCTGAGCCGGTGCCTAAGACCGATCAAACACAGCAACAGGTCACTGGTTATTTACAGTCGCTGATACTTTATTATGGTCTTAGCCAAACCTTGCTATTAATGGCCCAAAGAGGTGTAGAAGGGATGAGAGGAGGGTCAATGAGCAGACATACTTTGTTCTAGCTCTTCTCAGATTCATGCACCAGTTGATCCTTATCTAGAAACCTCCATTATCTGCTACAGTCTGGAAAACAAAAAAGAGGTGAAGCAGGAGAGCGCCAGAATCACACAGGTCTGCATCCCATGTAAGTGCTCTGGAGGGGGGCTTGCTCCCAGCTGGGCCAGGGCACTGCTCTAACAACCTGTTCCCACCCAGAAAGGTTTCTGAACTGCAGTAGCCTCCCTCTTCCTTGAAGTGATTTAAAATACCTCTCCCCACCTTTCTTCCTAGCAGGCCCCATGTTTTACAGTGGTATTTCCACAAAACCATCCCCTGTGCCTGGGAAATGGCTGGTCCTTGTGCCAGACATTATTTCTGGGAGCAAAGAGCTCGTAGCTCATTCCTGAATGTAAAGCTGAGAGTGCAGAGTGTGGCACTGCAGGACTTGCCCTTGTAGAGATGCTTTATGTTTGCTGCATTTCCCATTCTCCAGCCAGCTAACTCCTTCAGCGGTTTCCTGCAGTAAGGTTTTGTCTGCGTTAATGGCAATGGTCATTTTTTTGAACACAGGGCCCAGCTCCTGCCTGGCTTGAATTTTGTCCATGGTCCCCAGCAGAGCATTTCAGCTCCAAGGCAGCAGCTCCTTCCTTACAATTGTTTGACTACACCAAAAGTATCACCAAATATCCCAATTTTTGACCTCCCCAGATCTCCCATTTCAAGTCCTAATGGTTTAATAAATAAAAGACTCCAATTCCTCTGGCACTCCCTTGCCTGCATGGGTGATGCATCAAGTTACCTCGAGCAACTTACACTGTAGATCCAGTCCACGTAGGCTGACACACGTGTGAAGACTCTTGGCTTCTTGTATGTGTTACAGTAAGGAACTAGCCCAAAATGACAATCCCATGGACTTCTCAGCGATTGTCTTTGTAGCAGCCCCGGAGTCACCCTGGATAAGAGGAAGGAGAGGAACATATTAAGCCAAATCATCTGAGCAACTGAGGAACGACTGGGTGGGATTAAAGAGCACTAGTTAGTTAATCATTGTCCTGAACATGAAAATAAAAATGTGTGCTGCCTTCATTGCAAAGGGCTGACTGCTCCCCAGCAGTATGGGAGCAGAGACCACCCAGCACCTCCCAAGGTGTTGCAAAGATCAGACCCACTGTTTATCTCCTCAGTCTACACGCGTGCACACACACACATACATACACCTACACCCCTCCAGGGAGGGCTGAAACCCTGATTTACCACCACCCTTGCAAATATAGTGACTGTCAGCAAATGGTCCAGGGCATGTTGCACCACACGCAGTCCTTCCCAGCGAGGCCCACCTGCACAGCATCTCTGTTAAAAAACCAGTGCCCTCTCCAGCTACAAGCCACAAGGTAGCAGGGAAATGCTCTTCCCCTTGTTCTTCTTAAACAAGTACATTCAAAGGGTCCTGGGAAGTTAAGGCGGTGAAAAAGGAAGTAATTTGAGTTAAAATATATGAGAAGATAAAGGCTCTTGCTTGGCTCAGAACCCAGTTTCTAACAAGGTTCTGCCATAATTAAACCACACTAAAACCCACACTAAATATCTATAGGCCTGTAATTATACTTTACCTATAATTGCACTATGTATAATTGCATAACCTGGTTTATTTCTGTATGTTTCTATATTATATTAATATATTTACATAATCAAATGTGTTATGTATTTGTCCATTATTTTTTAAGTGATCTGCACAGTTGCTTTCACCAGAAGCCATCTCTGTAGTGAAGGGAATTCAGGCAGAGGCAAGAGGCATCCCCTGCCTTCACATGCCAGACGTCCTTGCTTTGATGCTGGGGCCACCTGGAGCCCTTGGGATACAGGGGACCTCACAGCACCTCCCTTTTCCACCTAACCTGGCTCAGAGGGTTCAGCTGGACATAGCCAAAACTTGTAGCAACCTCAGCTGTCCCTGTAAGCAGAGTGGCTGGGGAGGAGAAGGGTGACAAGCAGTGGGGAGCACTGCCTGGCCTGGGGTGCAACATGACAGCAACATTGGAGGAGTGGTAAGACTTCCCTGCAGCTTCATCCTTTGGATGAGGGGACTGCCAAAGTCTCAACCTAGTCCCCAGGACCTGGTCAATGGGACATGATGCTGGAAGAGAGGGCAAATCTCTCCTCCAAAAACAGAGGGGAGAGATGCACCCTAAGGGTTTGGAAGTTTTCTCTCTGCTGACTGCTCTGTGGGGAGATGGAGGAATGCGGGGCAGTCTGGTTTAGAAGATATTCAGCAGAAAGCAGCAAAGGGGCCAGGATTTGCAGGAGAGCTATTGCAGGTGGAGAAATGGCAAAAACAGGTCCCAGCTGAAGGAACAGCAAGGTCAGATGGGAAGGAAAGAGAAAGAGGGGAGCTTGAAAATCCTCTGATAGTAACAGATCTTACACTGCATCCAGCCCTCACGCCGTCTCCGCCTGCACAGATCATAGTGGCTTTTGCTTGAGATCCCCACCAGCCATCCTGGGAGCAGATCTCATGGTTGACCACCGGCAGCATCACCTCCTGCAGTCTGTCCATGCTGGTGCCACTCGCTAGCAGAGAAAGGGTCAGATTTTAGTCCAGGAGCTCCAGTGGTTGTGGAAGGAAGCCCACACCCTCCCTCGTGCAATCCTACCTGCACAGTGGTCCCTCTGAAACCAGGAGGGACCCTCAACACTCCTGCTTCCCCCTTGCTTACCACTAACCACCCTCCATCCAGTAATATAGCAGGGGTAGTTATTGGGCAAAATTTCTCCTGCAGGTGGAAGCATTCCCAGCTCAACGAACCCATTGTCATAGGCAGAAGAATCAAGGCGCAGCAGGGCAATGTGATGCCTGAATTGGGATAGAGGCAAAAGACTCTTGAAAATGAAAAAAATGAAAATCCTGAATTAGTCATAAACCAGTTGCCATCACTCACATTTCATCACTTATACAGGTCTCTAGCTTCTGGCATGATGATAGACAAGCACCTTGCAAACATCATTAATTAATCCTTACAGCTATCAACAGGCAACAGGAAAATATAAACAATTAATTAAGAGAGAAGAGGCTGTGATATAGACTGATAAAGGGCTAACATCTCCCCAAAATCTCATACTCCTTTGGAGGCACTCAACCCCAGAGCAAATTTCAGTAGACCTTGGGTGGACAGGCATGCCTCTGAGGGGAGATTTAAGACAGTCCCTCAGCATTTCCTTGCTGGCTTCCCTTCATCAGATGACTGACAGCAAGCCCCTGAATCTGCTGTGCATCCTGGATCCAACTGTGAGGTCCATCTTTCCACCATCTTGCACAAAGCAGGACTGAGGTTATCCACACAGACATCGTGTATCCTCCAAGAGAAGTGGTCATTTGGAAAATCTCCATTGCATCATCTTCCCACAAATCCAGCCTCACTGGGAACGGGACTGAATACACACATAAACGCTAGTGGGACAGGGTGCTAAGTACCATTCAACCATTCAAAATAATTACCCATTGGCAATGTTATTGGGATTCCAGTCATCATGAAAGAAGACTCTATCCACATCAATATAGTACTCGATGCCATCCACCTCCAAGAGATCGTGCTCACCCAGAGCCATTCGGTAGGCTGCGCCTGGTGGCCTGAAAACAAATCACAGAATATGGGATGAAGGGAAATGAAATGTAAAAACTACTCCCCACCGCTAGGTTTCCAGTGTAATTCCTGCACCACTGAGACCAATGTAATCCCCTCTAAAGCGCCTTCCACTGGAGGATTTTCAACAGACTGCAGCTGAATGGTCTTATGAATCAGGCAAATGCTGCCCGCAGTTTGCTGGTGAGCTAAGTGAAGGTGCAGCATCAGCTAATACAGTGCTGAGTGTGGTTTTGAACGGGAACATTCATTTTGCATCTCTGGATCTGTCTGAAAGAGAGTGTGAAGGACCAGCTTGTTACACTCTGTTGTAAGTACATTCACTAAAGGCATGAGTAACTGAAGAGGAGCATTCGCTTACTGGTGTCACGCTGTATCGCTTCGGCGTTGCGTGTTAGACACGCTGCAGACCAAATTGTACAAGGCCCGTGAGCTAGGAAACATGGGTTTTGTTCAATCTTTCCCTCTCTGTGCAGGTTTCTCAGGTTGCACACCCATTCAAAATGCTCACATTCATGCAAATGCACCTCCTCTTATGCAAATCATCAATCAGCTTGATTTCCATTCCCAGGAAGTCAGCAATTAATATGTAAAATCAAGGCTAAAGCAAACAGAGTTTTCCAGTTCCCTTGATTAAGTGCTCCGTGAGATGTCCAGCTGTGCAAGGAACGGCACCAGTGGGGAGCTCAGAGGATGAGAAGGGTCTGGCTCCCCTCTGCAGCAAAGAATGAGGAGCAGAACTGGAGTTTTAACGCTTTTTACCCTACTCACACGCTGAGGCAATGGGCTGCAGTCATGACCCATTTGCTGCTGATAAGGGTTCCACCGCAAATGTGAGAGTAGAACCACGGGTCATCAGCATAGGCAATCTGAAGTGATACCTGGATCAAAGGACAAAGTATTTTACGCCCAAGCCATGCCATGCCTCTGCAGAAATGGGGTGTGTGGCTTTGGACAGTGGAAGCTGTCATTTTCTCACTGTTTTTTTTCAAATATAAGGCTTTTTTCAACCATAAGACACCAGCATTACCTGCCATTTCCAGCTGCGTGGTTCGGCCTCGTGGCCTCCAATTATTCTCCCCACCAGCACATCCTTCTGAAGAGCTTCCCTTAGGGGACTTCCAGAGATTGCCCCTAACCACACAAAAAAAGCAGCGCAGTTTGTCACGTGGATTCCTAAAGAGCATCAGTCAGCACAGGTTACCGCCAGCAACAAACTTGTGCTGCACAGGGCAGCCAGCCAGGCTGGCTGAAAGTCCAAAAGATCAAGGGATTGACACTTGCATGTGGTGACACTGTGATTGCTCTCCCTCCTGGAGGCCGTCTTTAAAGCCTCCATGGTTGAAGAATACCATAAATAGGCTTCAAGATGCAACGGTTTCATGTAAACTGACTTGTTTCCCGTACTTCCTACAGCCACACTCTAACTGCCAGCTGGTTGTGCACCAACCTAAATCCCCTTTCTTTCAGGGTATAGGTTTTTCCTTCCCTCCCTCAGAGAACTACCAGATCTTTCTCATGGAAATCTTGTTCCCGCAATAGAGAAAAACCCTTCCAGCCAGAACAATTGTGTTCACATTAGGTTTTGTCCTAGCACAGTAACTGCAGGGAAAAAATCTATATGCTCTAATCTGCACCACTTACAGTCTGAGAGGTTCACCCTTTCTCATCTCAAATACTTCAATTGCAACTTACCCAAGGAACTAAGAAGAACCAGAAAATGAAGCATCTTTAATGAAGCGGTAGCATTTTTCCCAAGAAAAAGTCTTTTTATGCTAAAATATACAATAAGAACCTGTGTCTAAATTTGTGATAAATACAATTTATCTGTACTCATTAAACTGATCAAAAACATTATGTGGAAAAAAAAGGGGAGCAGCGAACTGTTCACGGTAGAGCCCAAGGTTACACAAACACCTCCACACTGCATAGTTCCCACAGGGCCATGGAGCAGAAAAAAAAACTGATAAATTTGGAGTACTCTCAGATCAAGACAAAACCAAAGCAGTGCAAACCCAGGCTCAAGAAGCCAACACTTCTGACTAGCGATTGTTGATGCACATGTTGTGCTCCCTTGTACGAAATTTATGTCAGTCCAGCTGCCTGCCACTCCGTGGAACATGAACTGGTCTTTGTCAACTAGATAAAAATAGCAACCAGAGAGAAGCGTAACCACTGAGAGTGGTTCAGCCTTGGCTGGACATGTTAAACTGTCCTTGGCTGGACACCTTGATCCTTTTTTAGGATCTTTTTCCTCCCTGCTGAAGGAGTTTTCCTCTGCCTGCCCCAAAATTCTGGCTCTCAGTGGCAGGATGGGAGGTAGGGGGCTGGGCTATGGCCAAGGGGGATGCTGCAGCTGGAAGAAACCTGGGCTCTCTCTGAGGAATGGAAAAGGTTCTATAATCACAGAATGGTTTAGGTTGAAGGTTTAGAGGTTGTCTGGTCCAACCCCCCTGGTCAAGCAAGGCCACGGAGAGCTGGTCACCCAGGGCCACGCCCAGAGAGCTTTTGAATATTTCCAAGGATGGAGACTCCACAACTTCCCTGAGCAACCTGCTCCCGTGCTCGGTCTGGTCCTGTCACTGGGCACCATTGGTCAGGGCCTGACTCCATCCTCTTTGCACCCTCCATTCAGGTATTTAGGCACACTGATGAGATTCTACCTGACCTTTTCCTTCTCCAGGCTGAACAGTCCCAGCTCTCAGCCTTTCCTCATGGGAGAGGTGCTCCAGTCCCTTCATCATCTTTGTGGCCCTTTGCTGGGCTTTCTCCAGGATGTTTGTGTCTGTCTGGTACTGGGGAACCCAGAACTGGACCCAGTACTCCAGGTGTGGCCTCTCTAGCGCTGAGTAGAGGGGAATGATCACCCCCCTTGAGCTGCTGATCATGCTTTGTCTAATGCAGCCCAGGCTAACATTTGCCTTCTTTGTGGCCAGGGCACACCGCTGGCTCATGTTCAACTTGGTGTCCACCAGGATCCCCAGGTCCTTTTCTGCCAGGCTGCAACAGGCGGTAGGCAGGGCAGGCACCAGGTAATATCACCAAGACCTGCATCCGATCTTTGACTGTGGCCTTGATGTAGCACTTCAGAAAAAAATGTAGAAGACTTTGTAATGGATAACTTTCTTGTAGGGGGAAATAAGTTTTGCTTTTTTATGTCCTCAGTAACTGCAGTCACCTAACCATCTCATACTTGTGGTGCATCGTGATTCATAACCCTTTAATGGTTTAAGGCCTCTAACCAGGAGCAGAGCAAATGCACAAGTTCTTCGGTTACATGTAAAATACAGCCCTGCTTTACATGTTCAGTGAGGAAGAAAACAAGAAATGCCTGTAGGCAGTGGAAACTCAGAGACTTGTTTCCATGATCAGGGGAAATCCTCTTGGGACACACAGGACATCAACAGGTGGGAAGTAAAGCTCACCTTGAACTTGAACTGCAGCCAGAGACCAGTTGTCAAGTGAAAAAGCAAGAGTTAAGGAAATGAGCTGGAGAAGACAGCGAGGGTCATCCACCCAGGTATGCTAATAGGATCCACTGCCCATGGAATGGCTATGGTAGGACCAGGACCTTTCCCATTTCATCCCAACAGTCCTCTTTAACAAATCCTTTTCATTTTACTGGAAGCCATAAAAAGTTCAATGTGATATTTCAGCACTGAGACCTTCTTTAAGTCACTGAACACTTTTTCCCCCTTACATCATAGATCATTTTTAGCTTCCAGTTAGTTTTGGCTAGGAGGTCAGAAAGTGGCCTCTTAGCCAAACAGTCTCTTCACTCACTTTCACTACATTCCTCATCCTTGTTAGACCTGGCAAACTCACTCATTTTCTATTGCTAATTTATTTTTCCAAAGACTTTATGTGTTGCCTACACACAATTTCGTTGAAGAACATTCTTGTTTGTTTATTCTCCTTTTGGACATCATGCCATTTAGCTTGAGTAATTGTTTGTCCATAATCTGCACTCTACAGCAATGTGCACGGTATCATACTCATTTTGCAGCTGAGTGGCTTTGATGTTGGGCTGTGTTGTAATGCCCGAAGGAGAAATAAATTACACTGAGGATGATGAATTACATCTGGTTTAGGAATTCCTCCACTTTGGGCATTGTTTTAGCGTAGAGCTCTTGAGAGACTGTCTGTGTTTTGTGCTGAGCTCTACATATGTGCTTTGTGGAAGAGGTGAACCTATGGGACATATGTGAATGGAGAAAGGGCAGTTTGAGCGTTGGGACTGGGAAGCTGTTCCATGTACAAGCACTTAGCAGGGTGAAAAGAATTTATGAGTTAGGAATTTAACTGTAAGAGAAGGAAATGAAAAACCACGAAGTTTGGCATTAATGTCAATGAGAAGGCTGATTCGCTTTTGGTATCACAGCATTACCACGGAGCTCCAGTTGTGAAGCTTGAGATGCCGAAGACTAGAGCTGCCATCCAAAACACAACATCTCACCTACTGACAAATCTGAGAGGCCCATAACCCTCCAGGGGCTATGAAATTTGTTTCAGGACATGAACAGTCCTGGAATCAGAGTCTAGGACTCCTCTTCTTTGAAGAACCATCTCAAGCCAGAGCCATCTCAGGGTTTCTCACAAGTGTAGGCAAAAATGGATTTCTGTGCTTCGAGACTTTACCAGTTGACAAAATGGGGCATCTTTCACACCACAAAGCCAACTCAAGTGGCCCTGTTTGTGTCCACATGGCAAAACTCTTTTAGACTCTGAAATAGAGAGGTCTCCCCCACGCTGCCTATGGAGCACGGTCTCTCGTCCATACTAGCTTTCCAAACTATGCATAGAAGTTGCTTTGGGGAGCATGGGCTGGTGCAAACCAGTGTTCTGGTAGACTGTGCTAACATGCAACTCCACAGAATAAGCAAGGCAATGTCTGAGCTGGTGCTCTAGCACTGTTTAATTAACTGGTGCTCTAGTACTGCTTAGTTAACGAGTGATAATTAACTATTTAGTTAATTACCATATAGCATTTTTGCCCTTGTTCTCTGAGCATCAGATTTAAATATTTTGATGACAGCAGCATTTTCTGGGTGAGTAGATTATTCTATAAGTGACGGGAACGATTAGGAGGTTGTGAGGGATAGGATGGATGGAGGGGAAAGATTCCAGGGCTGTACAAGCAAACGAGGAGTTTTGGGTGGACTTGATGAGATCGACTGGGAGCTACTGAGCATGAAGATGAGGATATAGTTATCTTTCAGGGAGGCCCTATAGCACAAACTGACTTCCAGACATTGGGATGGTTTATGGTGTGTGTTTACTGTGCAGCTTTATGTCTGCTCTGCACTTACACGCCTTTCCTGAGCATCTGCTATCGGCCATTGTCACTAGGCTATTGGCTAGATGGGTCTGTGGCATGACACATTTCAGCCCTACATATATCTTTATTTATTGACTACGTCTCTAGAAATGAAAGCCTCAGATTTATTTTTGCAGTGCAGATGCCAAGGTTCCCTTTCTTCTATATAGCAGCAATTCAACATAACATCTCTATTCAGGATAGTATTAAGCACATTAAGTATGTGCTAATGTAAAGCACATGCTCCTCTTCTCAACACAGATGGTTTGAAATGTATTAAGTAGGACTAGAGAAGGTTCCTTCCAATGCACACAGAGTATTTAATTTTTCATTATTTTTTCTCAATATTCCCTCTCTTTCATACCTGAGTTTGAGTCGATGACACATTAATAAACCCATAAAAATATTCCTAGCTTATCATTTGGCAACAAGCTAGGACAACATGAGCAGAAACCCTTCTGTTAGAGAAGAAAGTCTATAGATACACTGTCCTGAAAACACTGACAAAACCTTGATCTAATGTATGCTTCTTAATAAATACGCTACAGTGGCCTTAATCATCAATAAATGAGGATGAAGGGACAAACGACTTCACTCTTTCAACTTCTTTTATTGCTACAGGGTGAAGCCTTTATTTCAGTATGAGTACTATTGAGCTGTAAAAAGGTAAGCATGATATGAAATGGCTAATTTGTCAGACCACACCGTTTATCTCTGTGTCCAGAAGCATATCTAAAACTCATCTGACTCAAAAGAAATTCTTAGGAAGAAGGAAACACAGAACAAATGAGTAAGAAAACTTCACATTTCAGCACTGAAAATGTAAAATGACATGAGGTAATGCCTGTATATTCACTTT